AGAATTTAGGACACCTGAATAATGAAAGTGAGAGACATTACAAAACTGAGCTCTTGGAGCATGTTCAAGGTTCAAGTCTTTTAATAGTCATACGTACATAGCTACAGTGTAGTCATGACGATGAAAATATTAAGTCACAGGCTCCAACAGAGCAAACACAGAAAACAGAAAAACAGAACAAATAGTGCAAGTAAATACAAAATAGAAATGGTGAAAATAGTGAAATAGTGCAATAAGAGTCTATATACAAAGTACATGTAAAGTTTGAAAACAAGAGTTTTCCCGAAACGACCTTTGGGGAACTCCCTCCTTTGTCCGTGCATCCTTTGGTACCATTGAAATATTCTCTATCTCTAACCTGATTTGAAGCAAACTGGGAATGTGTCTGAAATGTGAACAAGAAACTTCTCTGGATTCTGTTACACAGAAATAATTAGAGTCCGGTTTGGTGTGGGACAGTAACAAACAGTAACATCAACAAAGAGCTGTGTGAAATTCTGCATCCTGAATAATTCAGTTTTGCAGAATTTAAGAAATCATATCTAATGCAATAAAGAAATAACCTTCCACATTGCAATGAGTGAGGATTAGGAACTTTAATTTACAGATTATATAATTCTCAGTTATAATATAGAATTAGTTTAGGCTGGAAGCTCATTCAAATCCTAACAGTAACATGTACAAAAACAAATTGATCTAATAACAACATGTTTATAGCAATGCAATAAATGAAAAGCTATTCTTTTTTGTGCACAAAGAGATTTAACATAACATTAATGTATATGTTAAAAATGTCTAAGTAGAACACTATGTATAGTTAACATTTTACAACAACAAAGAAAAACATTCAGGATAATGTTACACGTTTTGGCATTTTGATAAAACTCAGTAATAATGAAGAGAACTCTATTGAAGCTGAAAGCTCATTGAAACCTGTGTGTGTGTGTGTGTGTGTTTGTGTGTGGTGTGTGTGTGTGTGTGTGTGTGGTGTGTGTGTGTCTAAAGCTTAACCTGGAAAAGAAAGGAATAAAAACGTATTATATTAACTGTTTTAAATGTGAGCCTTAAACTGACGTTTTTCAACATTAAGGAACTACTCTCGATTACATCACAAGTTTTGGGCAATCTTTTTTCATAGATTATTTAACTATTACTTATCGTTAAAAGACTTAAAGTTAATTTAAACCCAGACAAAGAAAAGTGAATAAAACGTTTAAAACATTTTTTCTTTATAAAGTTGAAGCCAATTTAGACTTACTTTTTACAACAAATAGGAAACTACCTAATATTATGTTACTCGTTTTTTTAAACTTTTCTCTTTATGAGTTTGTTTTGATGTTGAAGCTTGTTGATCAGTGGAGTCTGATGGAAGCAAGAAGGTTCTCCAACGTTTTCACATAGGTCACTACACCTTCATCTTCATCATTATGCACCTGTACAAATAAACACAACACACTTGAGAACTGATATCAAATGGAAGAAGTAAATCACCTCTTTTGCAGCAATCACTAACATAATAAATAATACAATTAGTACTGTTTCATTCTTATTGTAAAGACTGAAATACTAATAACACAGAGCGTTGATTATTCAGAAACTCACTGCATTATCATCCGTCTGTGCTCTGTTCCCTGAAAGACAAGAAATAAACTTCAGTTTCAAGTCTCAATCCGGCTTTATCTAATATTATTTAAATAAAATGACTTCAGTGAATGTTCTCACCTTTAGCTCTCGTCCATATCGTGACCGTCACCACAATTATTATGAGCGATGCTAAACCGACAGACACGATGATGAGCCTCAACCAATCTGGAACTGAGAGAAAAAACATTTAAAATATTTCGGCTGCAGCTTACTGGACCATTTCAAATCCTGCGCCTCAAAGAATTCACATGTTTTCTTTTATTATTATTTGGTCTGACATTTATAATGTAGGCTGCAGAAGGAGTCAGAGAGATGGATGTTAGTCACTACCTTGTCCTTGGGGACCATTACAGAGATATACAAACACATTTAAGTTTAACATCTGACGAAACTTAATGAGACATAATAATGTAATCCTTAAACTTAAAATCATCAAATAAAATCAAATATACCCGTTTTCCGTTAGAATTCAACAAATCATATTTTTTCGATGTGTAAATAAAATGTGAAGTCTTAAGGGTCGCGCTGGCAGAGGAGGAAGTAACTTAAACATCTCAACATGTTCTCACCTGAGGACTGAGGGCTGAAGAGAAACACCTGTACTTCTCTTGTGTTCTTATCAGTTACTTCACAAGTAAACAACTCAGACCTTGTTGTGTAACTAAAAAGAGAAGTCGGAAATGTCACAGAGGCAGAGCAGAGAGACTGTGATGTCTTCATATCTCTGTGATCTTTATCCACATCTTGACCCTGAAGCAGCCACTTCACTGTGAGTTTAAACCGTTCATATGTCTTCACAGAGCAGAGTAACGTCACCTCATCATTGTCCTGATGTTCAGTCACTGAAGATGGAGATAAACAACAAGAGTCAAATTAACTTAATCACTGTAATCATTGTAATGTTTTAGAGTATTGTTCAATAGAGACAGTTTGAAAACACTATGATGTAAATACTCACTGTTAACAACAGACAGGTAAACACGAGAGTCTGGATATTGTTGTTCTCCTGATCTGAACTGTCTGCAGAAGTAACTACCAGCATCCTCCTCTGTGACCTTCTTTATACCCAGAGAACATGTATCCGTAACACTCAGTCTGTCTGCTTTAGCTTTGGCCCCTTGCTGAATCTGCCCACCTTTAGCCAGCTTTGCTGTTGGTTCTCTTGTTAAATCACTAAAGAGCCATGAAGTTCCCTCACAGTTCCCCATTGCATTGTTACAAGGCAAAGTGACTTCAACTCCTTCTTTGACAATGAAACGCTGTTTGGTTGCTACCCCTGAGAAGACAAAGACAGAGAAATAACTTTAAATAAATATGGAAAGTGGACTGCAGTTAAAAAGGGCTTTTCTGTAGCGAGCACTTCAAGTATTTTACAACACATTCACACGAGACAAGAATACAAGGAGGTCCAATATCTTTCCCTTAATTCTCCGAGCCACATTTTCCCAATAACAGGTCATTATAAAGATATTGTGAGTATGGTTTTTGAGCAAATAGATGATGGTGCTTAAAAGGGTCCAATAAAATCACTATGGTCAAAATAAACAAACTTAGCTGTCTGAGTTAAATGAAGGTTAGACAATGAATGATATAAGTAGCATTGTTTAAATAAAGTGTGTGATGTCACCTATCTATACATATTATAACATCCTTACCTGTAATCTGAAGCAGTAAAACATCATTTGAATCATCTGATTTCAGCCATCGTGATTCTCGGTCTCTCTTGCTCGCACTTTCTCAACTGTGAACGCCGGCTTGAGAAATACATCAACTTCCTATTAGGTGTGAACTTCCTCATGAGGACACTCTTCTCTCCATATGAGGAGGTATTTCATATTTCTGATGCCGTATAACTAAAGCAATTTGTGCTCCGAGCTTAAAAAGTGAAATAAAACTACATTTCTGTCTGTAAATAATACATAATTAGTATTATTGTTAATAGCTAGTACGAGACATTTTCTGTATAAGTTATTTTCATTGACTTCATTTTTAAATGTTATATTTATTGTTACAGTATGTCGTATTTCTGATAGTAATAATAATTATAAATATTGGTATACTATTGTTAATAGCAATGAGTATTACAAAACTTTATATTTCAAGTTATTTCTGTTTTATTTGGAAAGAAAATTGACAAGAATACAAACAAAAAAAAGCAGAAACCCTGAAAGGTAACACTAGATCAATACATTTCCTGACATCAAGTCAACAAAGGAACATATCATATATATTATACACATTTTTTTATAGAGAGGCGAAGTCCCGCCCTTCTACCTCCGACCCATGGGACCTTATTTCGGAAAAATTATGTATTGAAGTCAATGGGGAGAGAAAACGTATCTTTGGATCCCGTTTGAATTGTGCCACGAATTACACATATGATGTTTGTCAATCTTAAATAATAATTTCCATGTCAAAAAAGTCACAGTTTGTCGTAAAACTGTTGAAATATAAGACTATGAAAAATACGCAACTAGAAAGACTACAAATCCCAGAGTCCCGGTCCCGCATGCTGGCTCTTAGGAACCGACTAACTCCCCTTGTGTGTATGCACAGCTCTCAACATGCCCAGACTTGGAGTGATTTTCACCTCTTTGAATACTTTCCGCCTCATTCTGAAAGAAAGAAGTGAAATGTGCCAACGTGACGGCCGTCTTGGTGTGTGGTGCGAGACGGGAGATGTAGTTCATTGAGCGGTTTCACACAAAGAAAAGTGTTACTTCACATTTTAATTTTTTTGACCTATCTTTTAAATTGACGAACATCAAATGTGTAATTCGTGGCACAATTCAAACGGGATCGAAAGATAATCTTTCTCTCTCCATTGACTTCAATGCATAACTTTTCGGAAATAAGGTCCCATGGAGGTCCCCTGGAAAGGGAGGGTCTTCACCTCTCTATCAGAAAACAACACATAGCTGACTCCACATCTACTTTCTACACTCTGAAACAGCACCCCCTCCTGGGCAGAAAGGCTTCTTACAGCAATACTCCTGAAGATGTTCATACAAATAGATGTAACACAAGATAAAGTGATTATATGTTAATTTAATAACCCAAAAAAGCTACTTTCATATTTACACACTAACAATAACAACCATACAGTATGCAGATGAGCTTCCTTCATATATCAATAACATTGTCTTTAATCTGGCAAGAGCATTGGGATTATGTACATTTATACAAATAGATATTCAATATTCTGCAGGATTTTAACTGCGGAGACAATTTTGCTCAAAGGTATCAATGAATATCAGTAACACAGTGAGTGGATTTCTAGTTAAAGGGCCTCACAGAATAAAAAATACTTGGTTTTCATTGTGAAATCAATGTTCGACATGAGCTGTAACTGTCAC